CAGTCTTTCCGACATCCGTCGCCCATTGAATACGGTCCTCCTGACTTATGTCGCCCGCCGACTACGATCCTCATGACTTACGTCGCCCGCCGACTACAGTCCTCCGTCGCCAGCTGACTACGGTCCTCCTAACCTACGTCGCCCGCCGACTGCAGTCCTTCTAACAAAGCGAATACGTCGATAGTAGCTCATTGTATTTACATCATGTAATGTACTCCATAAGATGTACATCAAGCTAAGACCTTCCACCAAGGAAGGGCCTCATTTGTAATCGACTGCAATACTAGTGGATTCATTCAAACTGGGCTAGGCCCCGTGGTTTTTCCCCCTTTTGCAGGGGTTTTCCACGTAAAAATCTTGGTGTCTCATAAATGCTAGACCCTCTCTCATTATCTGATTGCGTGCCAGATTTTCGTACGATGCTAAGACGTTAAATATGATATTTCTCTACCGCCGCGAATACTCCTGGACGCAAGAACCCTAAAAGTAATGGATTTTACGTACTCACCGCAAGGAAATATTATAATTGAGTCTATTTTATATGATTTTTAGGAATTGACCAAAATTTCCCCGAATTTATTTGACCAAAATTCTATATTAAAAGTGCTACATGTATGTCAGACAACTCAACAATTCACCTATGAAAATAACCTTCTCAACTAAGCCTATCATGTATAGTATCTTTTCATGTTATATGTAAATTAATTTGGCGAGGCATACTTAATGGAAAAATGATTATAACAATATAAAAAATATCATTAAAAAGAGTTAGTTCAATATTAACGAATGAATAACATGATCAAATATTTACTCAACATAAATAACAAGAAATCATAAAAGAAGCATGATATATATCAATGTAACAAGTATATCATAAGAGACATGAGTATATCACTTAATATAATTGGATAAGTATATTATAAATCGAATATAGATAATATTCGATTATAAATTGAATAGAAAGTGTTGGACTAAATTACATCTAAAGGCTAGGAATACCTCCCTATCTCAAAGTAGATGTAAAGTGTTGGAAAAGAACATACTCAGATTCCTTTGCAAGCCACTACCACTACAGGAAAATCACCTATTACCGATAGAAATTGTTCATTTCCGACGGATAGTTTCTGACGGGATTTCGGAGGAAAATTTTTGGCCTGTAAAACCTGTGTAGGAAAATTTTTCCGACGATAAAAAGTTGTTGGAAAAATTTTCCAACGGAAAAAATAAGTTATTAGGTGATGTAGTGCACTAGTTGTCAACCATTTTTGTTTGATTTAGTTCAAAGAGCTCCTTCTATATATTAATCCACATAGCATTATTGTATATGTCACTTTATCCAACTGCTAGAAGACTCACTAATCACAATAGGTAACTTTACATGTGGCATCCAATAAGAGGAACACTTTCATTTATGTGCACAATTAAGAATGTCTACTCAATTAAATAGAAAATTTGATGTCACTCTAGGCCCACATTCCTTTTTTGAAGACTAACAACCAATAATGGATAATATATACATAACAAGCCTCTTGTTTGTTTCTCTCACTATAATAATTCATTATTCTACTATAATCTATATCACTATCTTGTTATCTATTCTCAATTTAGGCTTTGACGTTTAGCTTAGCTTTCGGTCACTACTTGTTTGTTGCTTTGAAAATATTTTTGTACAAGAAAGCAATAAGAAAATTGACCCAAACAAAGCCTTACTCAAGCATAGAAATCTTTGATATTCTTAGTGGATCACATATCACAAGACGTAGCTAGTGATCCAGCTAAGACATCCTACCACTCAAATAAGCAAGGCTTGAGTATACTCTCGAATCCATATCTCACCACAAATGAGTCTTATGTATGCTCCAATTTATTCATAGTTATTTTACTAATCCGTATCTCATCATAAGTCACCAAAAGAAGCCAATCACACACCAACTACAATCTCATTACCACTAAGCTATTTGACATAAAAGGTCAGGACACCCTATCCAAATTAGCAAGCTGTTTAAGATAAGATAGTTAACATGTATGACTGACCAAATTCAACTATTTTATGATGTGCATAATAATGCTAGTGAGCATTACTAGTTAGCATCTACCAACTACTACTAATTAGCATATGTTGAGTGCTTTTAGTTAGCAATTATCAAATATTGTAGGTTGACTACATATTGCTCAAGCATATTAGAGTAACTTAAATAGGATTTAGTAAATTTAAACTTCATTTGAAAAAGTTTTCTTACTGTTTTCTAAAGCAGCTTTCTAATACAAAAATTTCCTTTTCAAAAAATCTTTGTATTAAAAAGCTGCTTTATAAGCATTTTAAAAGCTATCTCAAACAAAACCTTAAACCTATTTAGGTTAAATACAAAAATTTGTTAAGTATGAGAATTTATATGATTGAGATATATTATTCAATTATATTTTACTTATGTCAACTTAATCTCAAATATTCTAATTAAATATATCAATTATTTATTTATTAGTAAATTATTAAGGTAATTAAATAATAACTTATATCTTAATAAATCAAATCCTTAAACCTATTTAGGTTAAATACAAAAATTTGTTAAGTATGAGAATTTATATGATTGAGATATATTATTCAATTATATTTTACTTATGTCAACTTAATCTCAAATATTCTAATTAAATATATCAATTATTTATTTATTAGTAAATTATTAAGGTAATTAAATAATAACTTATATCTTGATAAATCAAATCAAAGATCAAAATAACTTCAATTTAGTTGACTAATTGTAATTAGTTTGATTAATATCATCTCTTAATTAATAAATACTATATATATATATTAAAAATT